GTCTTCGCCACCGCCATATGGGGGTTTACGATATTCGGGGTACCTTATCGGGGTTTAGGGTTTAGGGTTCAGGGTTTAGGGGTTTAGGGTTCAGGGTTAGGGTTTAGGGGATCCTACTACTTGGGGACTATAGTAGTAGTAGGGGGCCCTTTTTTGTCGTCAACCCCCAAATGTGCCGTCCGGGAGTCGAACGTTCTTTCTGGCCGGAGTGCAGCCCTTTGCAGCTCTTGAGCTGATGGACATGGTTTAGGGTTTAGGGTTTAGGGTTCAGCATCTCTGGTCCAAGCATTCACCAGTTGAGCAGCTTTCAAGGCCACAGGGGAATACCCACCCGCCCATTGGGTCCCACACCAGTAGGAAAATAATCTAATCCTCCGTCAACCTCTCTCTACCTATATAAATTTAAACCTTAAGGTGGAGCCAAAACCGGACCCCCCCCCCCCCCCCCCCCGGACCCAGTGAAAAACCCGAACCCTGGCCCCTCGAGCCCGTGACAAAACAAAAACCAGTGAAAAGCCTGCACCCTGGGGCCCCGACGTCCGGGGGATCTGGGGGGGATCTGGGAGGGATCTGGGGGGGATCTGGGGGGGGATTGGGGGGGATGTGGGAGGGATTTGGGGGGGATTGGGGGGGATCTGGGGGGGAATCTGGCGGATCTGGGGGGGATCTGGGGGGGATCTGGAGGGGATCTGGGGGGGATCTGGGGGGATCGGGAGGATGGGGGGATCTGGGGTGGATCTGGGGGGGATCTGGGGGCGATCTGGGGGGGATCGGGCGGGATCTGGGGGGGGTCTGGGGGGGGGGATGTGGGGGGGGGGGGGATCTGGGGAGGGGGATCTTGGGTCTTGGGGGGGGGGGATCTGGGGGGGGATCTGGCGGGGGGGGGGGGGATCTGGGGGGGGGATCTGGGAGGGGCGATCTGGGGGGGGGGGGGATCTGGGGGGGATCTGAAACCGGTGGTGGGGGCCATGTGTCGGGATCTGGGCGGATCTGGCAGGATCGGGCGGGATCTGGGGGGGATCTGGGGGGGACGGGGATCGGGGGGGGATCTGGGGGGATCTGGGGGGGGATCTGGGAGAAGGAATCTGGGGAGGGAGATCTGAGAGGGGGATCTGGGAAAGGGGGGGGATCTGGGGGGGGGATCTGGGGGGGGGGGGGGGGGGGGGGGGGATCTAAGGATCTGACGGGGATCTGTCTGCTGGGGGATCTGGGGGGGATCTGGGGGGGATCTGGGGGGATCTGGGGGGATCTGGGGGGGTTCTGGGGATCTGGGGTGGATCTGGGGGGATCTAAACCCTGGACCCCGACACTCGTGAAAACCTGAACCTCGGGGCCCCGTGAAAAACATGAACCATGGACCCCCGACGCGAGTGAAAAACCTGAACCCTGGCCCCTCGAGCCCGTGAAAAAAAAAAACAGTGAAAAACCTGAACCCTGGGCCCCCATGCCCGTGAAAACCCGAACCCTGGGGCCCGACGCCCGTGAAAAACCTGAACCCTGGGGCCCCGGCCCGTGAAAAACCTGAACCCTGGGCCCCCAACGCCAGTGAAAAACCCTGAACCCTGACCCCTCGAGCCCGTGAAAAAAAAACAGTGAAAAACACGAACCCTGGACCCCCGACGCCCGTGAAAACCTGAACCCCGGGGCCCCGGCCCGTGAAAAACCTGAACCCTGGACCCCCGACGCCAGTGAAAAACCTGAACCCTGGTCCCTCGAGCCCGTGAAAAAAAACAGTGAAAAACCTGAACCCTGAACCCCCGATGCCCGTGAAAACCCGAACCCTGGGGCCCGACGCCCGTGAAAAACCTGAACCCTGGGGCCCCGACCCGTGAAAAACCTGAACCCTGGGCCCCCGACGCCAGTGAAAAACCTGAACCCTGGCCCCTCGAGCCCGTGAAAAAAAAAAACAGTGAAAAACACGAACCCTGGACCCCGACGCCCGTGAAAACCTGAACCTCGGGGCCCCGGCCCGTGAAAAACCTGAACCCTGGACCCCCGACGCCAGTGAAAAACCTGAACCCTGGCCCCTCGAGCCCGTGAAAAAAAAACAGTGAAAAACCTGAACCCTGGGCCCCCGATGCCCGTGAAAACCCGAACCCTGGGGCCCGACGCCCGTGAAAAACCTGAACCTTGGGGCCCCGGCCCGTGAAAAACCTGAACCCTGGGCCCCCGACGCCAGTGAAAAACCTGAACCCTGGCCCCTCGAGCCCGTGAAAAAAAACAATGAAAAACACGAACCCTGGACCCCCGACGCCCGTGAAAACCTGAACCCCGGGGCCCCGGCCCGTGAAAAACCTGAACCCTGGACCCCCGACGCCAGTGAAAAACCTGAACCCTGGCCCCTCGAGCCCGTGAAAAAAAAACAGTGAAAAACCTGAACCCTGGGCCCCCGACGCCCGTGGAAACCTGAACCCTGGTCCTGCGAGGACTCGAATTTTCCCCAACCCTCCCTCGAAAAGCACTCAATACCAGTGAAAAACCTGAACCCTGGCCCTTCGAGACGCCAGTGAAAATCCTGAACCCTGGCCCTTCGAGCCAGTGAAAAAAAAAAACAGTGAAAAACCTGAACCCTGGAGCCCCCACGTCCGTGGAAAAGCTGAACAACCAGTGAAAACCCTGAAAAGCCAGTGAAAAACCTGAAACCCCGGCCCCCCGACGCCAGTGAAAAACCTGAACCCTGGCCCTTCAAGGCCGGCTTGTGCCCAAATCCACGAAGGTTTGTGCCCAAATCCACGAAGGTTTGTGCCCAAATCCACGAAGGTTTGTGCCCAAATCCACGAAGGTTTGTGCCCAAATCCACGAAGGTTTGTGCCCAAATCCACGAAGCCTCGAACCTTTATAATGTTCATGGCCTTCGTGGATTTGGGCACAAACCTTCGTGGATTTGGGCACAAACCTTCGTGGATTTGGGCACAAATCCCGTGAAAAACCTGAACCCTGGCCCCCCGACGCCGGCGAAAACAGTGAAAAACCTGAACCCTGGCCCTTCGAGGCCGGCTTGTGCCCAAATCCACGAAGGTTTGTGCCCAAATCCACGAAGGTTTGTGCCCAAATCCACGAAGGTTTGTGCCCAAATCCACGAAGGGGTTTAACATTTAAATATATATGGTAGGAGAGGTTTAGGGTTTAGGGTTTAGGGTTTAGGGTTTAGGGTTTAGGGTTTCGGGTAAACCCTACCAGGGACCTTAGGGGTTTATTAGGGGGCTATTTAGGTACATAGAGACTGTATAAGGTACATAATGGTGAATACATACATATATAGATATAGATATCTGGGTTATGTGGGGGAATAAGATAAGGGTTCTTTTTTGAGGGGTCTCTCCTTAACCCCTTAATCCACCCTAAACCCTAAACACAGCTGCCCTCCATAAACCCTAGGGGAAGCCCAGTGGGTCGCCCTGATCAGCCCTTTGGGGCTCGGGTCGTGCGCCAGGCGCGGCAATTCTGTACCCCTAAACCCCAAGCCCTAAACCCTAAACCCCCCCAGAGAGCCCAACTTACCCCTTAACTAAGGAGTACACCTTAAATTGTATAGGGATCCTTAATCTGATTTAAAGGTACAGTTATTCTGTTATTGAGGGGCATTGGGCCCTAAACCCTAAACCCCTTAATGAAGTATTGGGCTCTTTGGGCCTAGAGTTACAGCGTCTCCCGCTGCCTTGCAAGGCCGCGAGACGACGCGTCGCCTCTTGCAGGTGTTCTGGCCCGGTGTTTTAGGGCTTAGAGTTCAGGTCTTTAGGGGTTTAGGGGTTTAGGGGTTTAGGGGTTTAGGGTTTAGCGTATAGGGCTTAGGTTGAGTTTGGGGTTTAGGGCTTAGGGCTTAAGATTTTTTGAGAACATAGGTTTTAGGATGTAAGGCTAAGGGTGTGTCTGATAGGGTTTAGGATGTAAAGTTCAGGCTTAGGGTTTAGGATTGCGGCGGCTAAGCGTTCTCAGAGGTCCAAGTCTTCCGCAGTTGGGATTAGGGTCGAGGGTTTAGGGTTTAGGGCTTAGGGCTTAGGGTTTAGGGTTTAGGGTTTAGGGTTTAGGGTATAGGGTATAGGGTATAGGGTATAGGGTGCAGGCAGGCTTTGCCGTTTAGATTTCCTTGTTGTTCTTAGAAGGAAATTGTTACCATTTGCCCAAGGATCCCCCCCCCCCTAATAATCCCCATATTGCCGATCAGGGAATGAGGGTCCCTGTAGAATCCCTTTAAAGGAGATTCTTTGTCCTTGCAAAGTCCGGCTCAGTGCAGGAACTACTTGAGCCGCATGCACTTTCAAAAGGGAATTGCCGCAGCTACTGGGTTTAGGGTTTAGGGTTCATGCTGAAGTTCCCCTCTTTTGAGCATAGAAAGGCTACGCCCAGGTGCGTCGGTTTTGGTCCGAGCATGGCTCATCTGAGCATGCTTGAGCCCTCCATCTTCAGCTCCCGATCACATGAAGGCGCCTTTACCTCTTGCAGGACGCGTGGGTTTAGGGTTTAGGGTTTTGGGTTTATTTAGGGTTTAGGGTTTAGCACCCAGGCCTGTCGCGGGGCACCTATATGCCCTGAACAGAAAAGGAATGGGCAGCATACCCAACAGTTCTGGCAACTTCCGTTTCTTAAGGCCTGAAACCCCCAAATCTTGGGACGTTCCCCCTTATACTAACAGTCCTTAATCATGGTTATAGTAGGGGGTACTAGAATCCCTATTGCAGAGTGGTAGGGGGGAACATCCCAACCTAAATCCTTTTTGGTGACTAAGGCTCCTCGCAGACTGCTCCATTCCGCTGCCCACACAGCTGGCCGGGTGGTGCTCAACGCGGCAGGCATCCCCCAGTGACACAAGTAAGGCAAACAGATCCCGACCATAATCGATCTACGCAAGCATATCCACACAATACTTGGGTGTGCGTGGGAAAGCAAATCCAGCCTTGAAAACGTCTCTAGATGGCACTGCACGCCGCAGCCCGCAGCCCATTGCCAGAGATTTCTGACTTCGTTCTCGTAGTTCTGTCAAGTACCAGTAGCTCGCAATCATGGGCATTGCTACCCTTGCCGCGATGTGGGTGGCGTCGTCGCTGATGCTACGCAGTGCCGCTGTCCGGTCGCAGTCCGGCATTTTAGCCGCCTGTGACTACAAGGACCTGGCAACAGCCGAGGTCCACGGTGTGTCCGGTGGCGTGGACGTGTCCTTCTGCGGAAAGTCGGTGACGTTGCGCGAAAGTGGCTCGGCAGCAGATCCGTTTGCCGGCGTGACTTGGTGGGATGCATCGCACCAGGGAGAGAAGCTCACGAAGCAGGAGTCGAAGACTTTGAAGAACCACGTCGGCTCCTACTGGCGTTACGGACGCTCGGTGGCTCAACTCGGCAAGGGATTGCTGCCACCGCTCTATAAGGAAGACTACAACACGGACTTCAAGGACGACAACTACGCCTCGTTGGTTCGTTCGGTTTTGGGCTTCACGGTGACCCTTGCAGATGCTGCAAACAAGCTCCCGGCCCCAGCAGCCTGTACGGATGCGTGGCTTGGTGATTGGATCCCCAAAGAGGCACTGGAACTTCTCCGTTTGAAGAAAGAGACGGGAAGGACGACGAGCTTCCCATGGTTCCAGTCTCCCACCTTCGATGAGAGCCATTCTTACCAGTTCTTGACCGAGAAAGAACAGCCCTCGAGCTGCAAGCCTGTGTGCCTTCAGCAGAACATCTCCTTCCCAGTGCAGTTCCACTTCCGGACCCGCCATGGCAAGGACGTCGCCAAGTACGACACGAAGGAGAAGCCGATGCTTGTGTTGCCCAATCTCGCCTTCAAGGTTGCTGATGTATCCGAGGTGATCACCGACCCCCTCTACGTCATGTCCACGGCGGAGCTGGTGCAGTGGCTCAACACGACGCACCCCTACAAGAGCTTTCAGGAAAGAGCAGGGCAGACGTTCGGCCCGTACCCTCGCCTTGCGAAGGAGGTGCAACGTCGCCGAATGGATGGGAATCTGAGGTTTAAACTTAGAAGTCACGGGATGCAAATGACTTTTGTTCCCGCTTTTCAATGGTCTACATGGGTCTTCGAGAGAGTGTGTTGGATGTTCTCAACAGTGTCAAAAGGTCATCTCCTTGCAAGCACATCTAAGGAAGGGGTTCTCGGCCTGGGAAGTGAAGGGGGACGGCGAGGGCAAGTATGAGATGCTGGAGGTGTCGGGTGCGGAGTATCGTCCTTTCTTCGATGCGCTTTCATCTCGCTTCGACATGCCTCCTCGACCGGGCTTGTGGGGTCAAGTCTCCAACGAGGACCCCTACATCATCAAGGTAACCTTGGAAGACCCCGAGGGATGTGACTAACGCTTCAGGAGGTCCCTGAGTCCTAGAAATGCACCACACCCCCTTCGCCCCCTTTCGCACGGGGCATCGAACTGGTGTAAGTTGCAGTCAGCCCCCCCCCTGCTGATTCGTGAATCCTGACCTGCACGGCGAGGGATGCCAATGCCAAGAGAAAAGATGTTTGCCCCGTTCTGTTGTGTGAGGTCTGGCAACGTCAGTACCTCAGTGAAGCAAGTACGTTGTTCATTGAGGGCCTTTCTGATGCCTTGTGCATTGCGACGTTCTTGTTTGCAACTGCATCAGTAGCCATGCGTCGCAGACCTGTTGGAGATCTCATCCTCTAAACCCCCCCCCCCCCCAAGCCCTAAACCCCATTGACCCTGAAGCCTAAAGCCTATGGACCTAGACCCTAAACCCGAAGCCTCAACCCTAAACCCTATAAACCCGAACCCGTTGAGACGGCCCAGCATGCCGCAGCCCATTGCCAGAGATTTCTGACTTCGTTCTCGTAGTTCTGTCAAGTACCAGTAGCTCGCAATCATGGGCATTGCTACCCTTGCCGCGATGTGGGTGGCGTCGTCGCTGATGCTACGCAGTGCCGCTGTCCGGTCGCAGTCCGGCATTTTAGCCGCCTGTGACTACAAGGACCTGGCAACAGCCGAGGTCCACGGTGTGTCCGGTGGCGTGGACGTGTCCTTCTGCGGAAAGTCGGTGACGTTGCGCGAAAGTGGCTCGGCAGCAGATCCGTTTGCCGGCGTGACTTGGTGGGATGCATCGCACCAGGGAGAGAAGCTCACGAAGCAGGAGTCGAAGACTTTGAAGAACCACGTCGGCTCCTACTGGCGTTACGGACGCTCGGTGGCTCAACTCGGCAAGGGATTGCTGCCACCGCTCTATAAGGAAGACTACAACACGGACTTCAAGGACGACAACTACGCCTCGTTGGTTCGTTCGGTTTTGGGCTTCACGGTGACCCTTGCAGATGCTGCAAACAAGCTCCCGGCCCCAGCAGCCTGTACGGATGCGTGGCTTGGTGATTGGATCCCCAAAGAGGCACTGGAACTTCTCCGTTTGAAGAAAGAGACGGGAAGGACGACGAGCTTCCCATGGTTCCAGTCTCCCACCTTCGATGAGAGCCATTCTTACCAGTTCTTGACCGAGAAAGAACAGCCCTCGAGCTGCAAGCCTGTGTGCCTTCAGCAGAACATCTCCTTCCCAGTGCAGTTCCACTTCCGGACCCGCCATGGCAAGGACGTCGCCAAGTACGACACGAAGGAGAAGCCGATGCTTGTGTTGCCCAATCTCGCCTTCAAGGTTGCTGATGTATCCGAGGTGATCACCGACCCCCTCTACGTCATGTCCACGGCGGAGCTGGTGCAGTGGCTCAACACGACGCACCCCTACAAGAGCTTTCAGGAAAGAGCAGGGCAGACGTTCGGCCCGTACCCTCGCCTTGCGAAGGAGGTGCAACGTCGCCGAATGGATGGGAATCTGAGGTTTAAACTTAGAAGTCACGGGATGCAAATGACTTTTGTTCCCGCTTTTCAATGGTCTACATGGGTCTTCGAGAGAGTGTGTTGGATGTTCTCAACAGTGTCAAAAGGTCATCTCCTTGCAAGCACATCTAAGGAAGGGGTTCTCGGCCTGGGAAGTGAAGGGGGACGGCGAGGGCAAGTATGAGATGCTGGAGGTGTCGGGTGCGGAGTATCGTCCTTTCTTCGATGCGCTTTCATCTCGCTTCGACATGCCTCCTCGACCGGGCTTGTGGGGTCAAGTCTCCAACGAGGACCCCTACATCATCAAGGTAACCTTGGAAGACCCCGAGGGATGTGACTAACGCTTCAGGAGGTCCCTGAGTCCTAGAAATGCACCACACCCCCTTCGCCCCCTTTCGCACGGGGCATCGAACTGGTGTAAGTTGCAGTCAGCCCCCCCCCTGCTGATTCGTGAATCCTGACCTGCACGGCGAGGGATGCCAATGCCAAGAGAAAAGATGTTTGCCCCGTTCTGTTGTGTGAGGTCTGGCAACGTCAGTACCTCAGTGAAGCAAGTACGTTGTTCATTGAGGGCCTTTCTGATGCCTTGTGCATTGCGACGTTCTTGTTTGCAACTGCATCAGTAGCCATGCGTCGCAGACCTGTTGGAGATCTCATCCTCTAAACCCCCCCCCCCCCCAAGCCCTAAACCCCATTGACCCTGAAGCCTAAAGCCTATGGACCTAGACCCTAAACCCGAAGCCTCAACCCTAAACCCTATAAACCCGAACCCGTTGAGACGGCCCAGCATGCCGCAGCCCATTGCCAGAGATTTCTGACTTCGTTCTCGTAGTTCTGTCAAGTACCAGTAGCTCGCAATCATGGGCATTGCTACCCTTGCCGCGATGTGGGTGGCGTCGTCGCTGATGCTACGCAGTGCCGCTGTCCGGTCGCAGTCCGGCATTTTAGCCGCCTGTGACTACAAGGACCTGGCAACAGCCGAGGTCCACGGTGTGTCCGGTGGCGTGGACGTGTCCTTCTGCGGAAAGTCGGTGACGTTGCGCGAAAGTGGCTCGGCAGCAGATCCGTTTGCCGGCGTGACTTGGTGGGATGCATCGCACCAGGGAGAGAAGCTCACGAAGCAGGAGTCGAAGACTTTGAAGAACCACGTCGGCTCCTACTGGCGTTACGGACGCTCGGTGGCTCAACTCGGCAAGGGATTGCTGCCACCGCTCTATAAGGAAGACTACAACACGGACTTCAAGGACGACAACTACGCCTCGTTGGTTCGTTCGGTTTTGGGCTTCACGGTGACCCTTGCAGATGCTGCAAACAAGCTCCCGGCCCCAGCAGCCTGTACGGATGCGTGGCTTGGTGATTGGATCCCCAAAGAGGCACTGGAACTTCTCCGTTTGAAGAAAGAGACGGGAAGGACGACGAGCTTCCCATGGTTCCAGTCTCCCACCTTCGATGAGAGCCATTCTTACCAGTTCTTGACCGAGAAAGAACAGCCCTCGAGCTGCAAGCCTGTGTGCCTTCAGCAGAACATCTCCTTCCCAGTGCAGTTCCACTTCCGGACCCGCCATGGCAAGGACGTCGCCAAGTACGACACGAAGGAGAAGCCGATGCTTGTGTTGCCCAATCTCGCCTTCAAGGTTGCTGATGTATCCGAGGTGATCACCGACCCCCTCTACGTCATGTCCACGGCGGAGCTGGTGCAGTGGCTCAACACGACGCACCCCTACAAGAGCTTTCAGGAAAGGGCAGGGCAGACGTTCGGCCCGTACCCTCGCCTTGCGAAGGAGGTGCAACGTCGCCGAATGGATGGGAATCTGAGGTTTAAACTTAGAAGTCACGGGATGCAAATGACTTTTGTTCCCGCTTTGCAATGGTCTACATGGGTCTTCGAGATAGTGTGTCGGATGTTCTCAACAGTGTCAAAAGGTCATCTCCTTGCAAGCACATCTAAGGAAGGGGTTCTCGGCCTGGGAAGTGAAGGGGGACGGCGAGGGCAAGTATGAGATGCTGGAGGTGTCGGGTGCGGAGTATCGTCCTTTCTTCGATGCGCTTTCATCTCGCTTCGACATGCCTCCTCGACCGGGCTTGTGGGGTCAAGTCTCCAATGAGGACCCCTACATCATCAAGGTAACCTTGGAAGACCCCGAGGGATGTGACTAACGCTTCAGGAGGTCCCTGAGTCCTAGAAATGCACCACACCCCCTTCGCCCCCTTTCGCACGGGGCATCGAACTGGTGTAAGTTGCAGTCAGCCCCCCCCCTGCTGATTCGTGAATCCTGACCTGCACGGCGAGGGATGCCAATGCCAAGAGAAAAGATGTTTGCCCCGTTCTGTTGTGTGAGGTCTGGCAACGTCAGTACCTCAGTGAAGCAAGTACGTTGTTCATTGAGGGCCTTTCTGATGCCTTGTGCATTGCGACGTTCTTGTTTGCAACTGCATCAGTAGCCATGCGTCGCAGACCTGTTGGAGATCTCATCCTCTAACCCCCCCCCCCCCCCAAGCCCTAAACCCCATTGACCCTGAAGCCTAAAGCCTATGGACCTAGACCCTAAACCCGAAGCCTCAACCCTAAACCCTATAAACCCGAACCCGTTGAGACGGCCCAGCATGCCGCAGCCCATTGCCAGAGATTTCTGACTTCGTTCTCGTAGTTCTGTCAAGTACCAGTAGCTCGCAATCATGGGCATTGCTACCCTTGCCGCGATGTGGGTGGCGTCGTCGCTGATGCTACGCAGTGCCGCTGTCCGGTCGCAGTCCGGCATTTTAGCCGCCTGTGACTACAAGGACCTGGCAACAGCCGAGGTCCACGGTGTGTCCGGTGGCGTGGACGTGTCCTTCTGCGGAAAGTCGGTGACGTTGCGCGAAAGTGGCTCGGCAGCAGATCCGTTTGCCGGCGTGACTTGGTGGGATGCATCGCACCAGGGAGAGAAGCTCACGAAGCAGGAGTCGAAGACTTTGAAGAACCACGTCGGCTCCTACTGGCGTTACGGACGCTCGGTGGCTCAACTCGGCAAGGGATTGCTGCCACCGCTCTATAAGGAAGACTACAACACGGACTTCAAGGACGACAACTACGCCTCGTTGGTTCGTTCGGTTTTGGGCTTCACGGTGACCCTTGCAGATGCTGCAAACAAGCTCCCGGCCCCAGCAGCCTGTACGGATGCGTGGCTTGGTGATTGGATCCCCAAAGAGGCACTGGAACTTCTCCGTTTGAAGAAAGAGACGGGAAGGACGACGAGCTTCGCATGGTTCCAGTCTCCCACCTTCGATGAGAGCCATTCTTACCAGTTCTTGACCGAGAAAGAACAGCCCTCGAGCTGCAAGCCTGTGTGCCTTCAGCAGAACATCTCCTTCCCAGTGCAGTTCCACTTCCGGACCCGCCATGGCAAGGACGTCGCCAAGTACGACACGAAGGAGAAGCCGATGCTTGTGTTGCCCAATCTCGCCTTCAAGGTTGCTGATGTATCCGAGGTGATCACCGACCCCCTCTACGTCATGTCCACGGCGGAGCTGGTGCAGTGGCTCAACACGACGCACCCCTACAAGAGCTTTCAGGAAAGAGCAGGGCAGACGTTCGGCCCGTACCCTCGCCTTGCGAAGGAGGTGCAACGTCGCCGAATGGATGGGAATCTGAGGTTTAAACTTAGAAGTCACGGGATGCAAATGACTTTTGTTCCCGCTTTTCAATGGTCTACATGGGTCTTCGAGATAGCGTGTCGGATGTTCTCAACAGTGTCAAAAGGTCATCTCCTTGCAAGCACATCTAAGGAAGGGGTTCTCGGCCTGGGAAGCGAAGGGGGACGGCGAGGGCAAGTATGAGATGCTGGAGGTGTCGGGTGCGGAGTATCGTCCTTTCTTCGACGCGCTTTCATCTCGCTTCGACATGCCTCCTCGACCGGGCTTGTGGGGTCAAGTCTCCAATGAGGACCCTTACATCATCAAGGTAACCTTGGAAGACCCCGAGGGATGTGACTAGAGGCCCAGGGCAGCAACCGTGGACCAATGAACGCTTCAGCAGGCCCCTGAATCCTGGAAATGCATCACACCCCCCTTCGCATGGGGGCATCGAACTGATGTTTTAATCTCAGTCGACGCCCCTGCTGATGTCCCGACTTGTGCGGTGATGGATGCCACTGCCGAGAGAAAGGATGCCCTCTGCTGTGTGAGCTCCGGCAGCTTCCCGAAGCCTAAGCCCTGACCCCTAAACTCTACTCCCTCAACCCTATCAGCCCTATCAGCCCTATCAGCCCCATCAGCCCTATCAGCCCTATCAACCCTATCAACCCTGTCAACCCTGTCAACCCTATCAACCCTGAACCCTAAACCCTACACCTATGCAAGCCCTATCAGATCCTATCAGCACACCGAATCCGAAAAAAGCTTCAGTCCGAGACTGACAGGAAGCGCAGCTGGCCGGGCCGGCAATGCCGCCGTCTCGGCCGGACAGGCGAGGTTGTGGGTTTGGGGTTTCCGGGGGTTGAGGGGTTTAGGGGTTTAGGGTTTAGGGTTTATAGGGTTTAGGGTTTAGGGTTTCGAGGCCAGGGCTTCTTGGTTCGCAGCGCAACGCCTTCCTCGAAGGTTTTTTGCTGACAACTCTGGTATGCAACTCAGAACATCTCCTTGGTAGCCCAGTGGTACCCTTTTTACCCGTTTCTGGCTGGTTAGTAGTAGGGAATGCGGGAATGAGGGCCCTATATATACCCTTTAAGGGATTGTATAGGGCCCTCATTCCCTCATTCCCGACTAAGAACCAGATCTTTTTTTATTTTTTATGGGTTCTCTTATAGAATAGCCAACCCCCAAACAGGTGCCTCATTATGATGTGGTTACCGGGCTACGGGACTTGGTAGCCACGTTGCGCTCTTCTCATCTCCGCCACTGTCGTCACCACTCCTGTCTTCTCTAAACTTCTCCAAGGAGATTTAAGGTTTATAGGGTTTAGGGTTTAGGGTTTAGGGTTTAGGGTTTAGGGTTTAGGGTTTAGGGTTAGTTTGATGAGGCATCTCGCTGTCAATGACATTCCACACATTTTGTTGCATGAGAATTCCCCACCATAGCGACCGACTTTGGGTTCTTCACTCTGAAAATCCGGCGGCCGGAAGCCGCGACGGGCACGGATCCGGGATGTACCAGTGTGTAGGGTTTAGGGTTTAGGGTTTAGGGTTTAGGGTTTAGGGTTTAGGGTTTAGGGTTTAGGGTTTAGGGTTTAGGGTTTAGGGTTTAGGGTTTAGGGTTTAGGGGATCTTTCCGGTGCCCCAAGTCCGGTGTCGGGGTCTCCCGGTGTCATAGGGTCCATAGGGTCCTTAAAGCAGGGGGGTTCGAGGTCCCTAAGCCTCCCTAAGGTTCCCTAGGTACCTCGCCCCCTTAAGAACCCTATAGAATGATGTCCCAATGCCCTGGCAGTTGGTGCCCAGTCCTCATTGCCCTCGGTGTCCCCTTGTCCGGGCATTCTCCTGATGCCAAGAGTGAAGATGTGCACGGCTCAGACACGGGGCCTGTACATGGCTACGCACATTCCCTGAGAGGCATCTTTGGTGACGACCTTCCGTGCGACAACCTTCGGCGTTCACCAATCTGTACAGACAACGTGGCACGTGATCCGGCCACCCCTAGCTCAAGCGGTGAACTACGTCATCACCCCCTCAGGCTTCTCAGACGGCAGTGCGGAGTAATTCTAGGGCTATCATCGACTTTCCGTGTTACCACTCAGCTTGCACATTGCAGGACATTCAAGCAGTTGGACCAATGAGGATCCCTTCAGGGAACACTTCTGTACAAAGAAGCCGCTTCTAATGTATGAAAGGTTTAGGGTTCAGGGTTTAGGGGTTAGGGCTCAAAGGTATCCATAAGGGGAGAACATATGCCCACAGCCCAGGCTTCCTCACGAGCGCGTCCACACTTTGCGCCCTCCTTTCTCTGCGCCTTTGCATCCTGTGGACAGGGGTTTCGGGACAGTCTTGGGAACTTTCAGCGGGCTACTAGCAGGATCGGGGCATTTCGTAAGTAGAGCTATAAGTACCTCAATTGGAATTATAAGCAAGCATAAGTATAGTTACCTTACCTAGAACCCTACTTACAATGTCCCCTGATCCTTAGGGTTGAGAGGTTGGCTGTTCAAGGCTTGTACGAACATGCCTTTGCATAGAACCCTACACCCCTAGCCCCAAAAACGAACCCTACTTTGGAAGCCCTTTTGACTTTGTAAGTCTACTTCGTATCCCCGAGAATTCTTTTGAACAATCCCCATAACCCAGCTTGCTAACCCCACTTTCTGAGTCAACAGAACTTCCAAAGTAAACCCCTTAAAGCTCTAGAACCCGAAAACCCCAAACCCCAAACCCTAAACCCTAAATCCTAAACCCTAACCCTAAACCTCCAAAGGCCTCTCGCTGCCCTGGCTGCCGTTGCCTCGGCTGGCGCCGTGGGCGCCGGGGCGGCCTCTGCAGCGTTGCAGACGTCCTCCGAGCTGCTGAGGCCCCTGGGACCATTGGGCTTGCGCGGCTTAGTTGGAGCTGAGGGCTACTGGGAAATAGTTTTTATTTTTTGGGGTACTTTATTTCCTAAGAAACAGCTAAACATTGCAATTTTTGCTGAACCCTAAACCCTTCCTAGAACTATACCCATGAACCTCAAAAGGCGGGTTTTAGGGATTTAGTCGGGGCTTTGGGATTTGGCGGCTTTAGGGTCTTTACCTGGGACCCTATTTACCTCGAGGTTTTAGGGTTCGTACGTGCGTTTTGTAGCCCAGTGGTACCCTTTACCCTTGCATGGGGTTCAAGGTTCCCTTACCGGTAGAGTCTTTAGGGGTCGGAGCTTTGGGGCTTACTTAGGGGCTTTAGCCGAACAGTGGGTTCTACGGCTTGGGGGGGGGCTTCCGGGCTTAACTATCTACATAACAATAACTTGGGGGCCTTAATAAGAATAGAGTTTTGGGGGCTGTTGTACTATAGTTTTATTGGGACCATAATGGAAAACTATTAGTAACTTTTCCGACCCATATTTAAGATGTAGACCTCTCTGTGTTTTTCTACGCTACTCCAGGCAGACCCAAACCGACGCGAAGCCATGAACCCACCAGCACACGGAGCGCATACAGCCCTCTAAGCTCCAAACACAGATGGCACGGGGTTTAGGCGTCTGAGGTTGCCTGCAGCCCTGGAGCCCTGAGAGAGTTTAGGGTTTAGGGTCCAGGGCCCGAACTCCCGAAATCCAGCGAAGTCTTGTCGAGGACGGGAGCCTGTCGTGGCCCGGACGGTGCTGCGACTGCCCTGGAGGCACGCCAAAAAACTCTGAGCCCTAAACCCCTAACCCTAAAACCTAAACACCTTGACTTTTAGACTCCTTAAAGCCTGAACCTTAGAACCTTAAGCCTTGCAAACTCTGGGACATATAGGGTGGGGAGCAGCTTGGAGGGCCATGAAGGCCTCCGGGTTTGGGGGCGTAGGGTAGGGGGTTTGGGGTTTTCTTCGTCCAGGGCTACTAGGACAAACAAGCCCCAACGATTAAAGCCCCCCCCCCCCCCCTTGAAAGCAGAATCATGATCACAAACGAGACAAACGAAAATCACAGCAGAAGCAGCCCCCAATATACGTTTCAAGGGCACCGGCAGCGTAGGCCTGGAAGACTTCTCGGTAAGAGGAACCCAGCTGAGTTGGACTCAACATGTTCCAGGACATGAAAAGCCTAGAAACTTGTCTTTGCGAGCAGCGGGACCTTCGGGTACTCAGAACAGGACCCCCCCCCCTACTTCCTTAGCTTCCTTCAGGTTTCAAAAGCATACAAAAGCTCCCCAAGCATTGAGCCCCAAAGGTTTCAGGGTTTAGGACGTATAGTCATGGTCCTCTATAATATATATATATATATACACACATACATATCTGGCTCAGTAATTCTTACAAGAGGATTCCCAAAAGAGACCATCATGTCGAGAACCTGACGTGTCCATCTCCCATGCAAAGAGGTGCTGCAGCGTGCCCTCCAGGACCCGAATTATGCACGGGCACCTTGGCCGAAGGTAGGGTTTAGGGTTTAGGGTTTAGGGTTTAGGGTTTAGGGTTTAGGGTTTAGAGTTTAGGGTTTAGGGTTTAGGGTTTAGGGTTTAGGGTTTAGGGTTTAGGGTCTAGGGTTTAGGGTTTAGGGTTTAGATTTTCGTTTGGGGCTTAACCGGCGTCCTACTTGCTACCCGCGATTTCTGCAGGGTTCGCATTAAGAGTGCCCTGAAACTCCAATGTAGCCCTAAACCCTGAGCCCTAAACCCTGAACCCTAAACCCGTTTCCCTAAACCCTAAACCCTAAGACCTCGGCTGTTTCGATTTCCGGTTCAGTGTGTACGGTTGCAGACCTGTGGTCCCCCCCAAGCCCTTGAAAGAGCTCGAGCTGCTAAACCCGAGACCGTACACGTTGGGGTTCAGGGTTCAGGGTTCAGGGCTTAGGGTTTAGGGCTTAGGGCTTAGGGTTTAGGGTTCAGGGTTCAGGGTTCAGGGCTTAGGGCTTAGGGTTTAGGGCTACCAGTTTTTTTCTTTTTTTCAGGTTCAAATAGGGTTTTGTGGAACTCTTCTGGGGTTATTTCGCCCAGGAGCTCGAAGAAATGCTTCGCTCCGAGCGGGAACACTCCAAAACGCGCCGGCAGAAGCTTCTGCGCCGTGCCCATACCTGGGCAACCATGGCCCCCTGGGTGTGCAAGTGCCAGGGGTTGGGTTTAGGGTTTAGGGCTTATAGGGTTTAGGGTTTATAGGGTTTATCGTGTTTGGGGTCTAGGGTCTGGGTTTAGGGTTTAGGGTTTAGGTTGTAGGCTTTAGGGTTTGGTAGGGATTGGGGCTTCGAGCGTCGGATTCTGAAACGCACCCCTCGTTTGGCGCGTAGGACGTTAAACGCTACGGGATTTGCTTCATCGGGCGACGAAGACAGGTATCAAAGCACTGGCAAGAAAATGAATAGTAGTAGTACCGGGAAGTCGTAGTAAGTAATGGTAAGAATAGAAGCAGTCGAAACAACCGTAGCAATTCTCAGAGTGGCTTGTTGATGTTGCTTGGATGCTCCATGCCCTGTGACCTTCCATTCTGCCTAGAGGGTTAGGGAACCCAAAGGCCATAACCCGAAGCCCGAAACACAAAGTGCATCCTAGGTCACTGGGCACCCTAGCGCCCAATAAGAGCTCTGACCTTCGAGGGTCGGTGGAGTATACGTTCCCTAAACCCTGAACCCTCAACCCTAAACCCTAAACCCTAACCCTAAACCCCAAACCCTAAACCCTAAACCCTGAACCCTAAGGTCAATGTCGGGATCATCGCGCGCGTGTCGCCGCGGGTCTCTGACGTCGTCTCCCGGAGAGTTCTCTCCAACAGCCAGCCTCCGGGGCTGGAAGCGCTGAGGCATCCGTTTTGTGGTCCCGAAACCCTATAAACCCTAGAAACTCCAGAAACCCTAGAAACCCTAGAAACCCTAGAAACCCTATAAACCCTATAAACGCTATAAGCCCTTATGAACCCTATAAACCCTAGAAACCCTAAACAGCCATATAAACCCTATAAGCCCAAAACCATACAAGCCCTAAGCCCTAAGTCAAAAACCACAGATATACCAAAACGGCCCTTCAACAAAGCCACAAGCCTTTCAAGCCTAGCCCAAGCCCTCATAACGTCCCTGAAAAGCCTCGAGTTAAAGGAAGGACTCAAGCCCTCAAGCTAGACCTTTCGACCCTAAACCCCAGTTTCGGGTTTAGGGTTCAGGGTTTAGGCTTTAGGGTTTAGGGTCTAGGGTTTAGGGTTCAGGGTTTAGGGTCTAGGGTCTAGGGTTTAGGGTTTAGGGTTTACCCCCCAAACCCTACACAAACCCCTTGTATCTACCGCGGAACACTTATTGCTCTGGGTTCGAGGGTGGCCCTGCTGACCGGCGGCCCGGGCGTCTTCGGCGCGCTTGAGGAGGCCGGGAGGGTTTAGGGTTTAGGGTTTAGGGCTTATAGGGCTTAGGGCTTAGGGTTTAGGGTTTAGGGTTTAGGACTTAGGGCTTAGGGCTTAGGGCGTTCTTTTGAAGAACAGAGATGCGTCAGCAGGCTTGTGGCTTCAAGACACCCCGCTAACGACGCCACATGTCCAGGTTCATGTTGTGGCCATTGCTCTGGATCTTGCCTCTGATTCTCTGCACCGCTACTTCGGAGGATGGCTCTGCTCCTGCTTCTGAGCCTGAGGAGTGTGAGCTGCAGAGGCTGAGCATGCTGCAAGCGCGAAGCGTCCTGAGTTCCAGCCCCAGATTGCCTTGGGATGACCGCGTTTTCGTGTTCGGAACCTACCATAAGGGTGGCTCCACCATGATGGTCAACATTGTGGAGAGGGCTTTCAAGGCCCTGGGGGCAGACATGGACGTTGACAGCTGCTTCAGGGGCGGGTTCCTGAAGAACATCACGGAGTGCATGCGGAACAACGTCACCAGCATCCGTCTCTTCACCGGGTTCTTTTGCCCCCGGGACCTGGAGGAGACGAAAGCTATTCAGAAGCCCCGGGGGGCGCGCACCGTCATGGAGATCAGAGACCCACGGGACATGATGGTCTCAGCATACTGCTTCGCCAAGTCAGGTGGGGACTATGGAGTGCAGATCTTCCCCTTACATGCAGAGAAGATACCGTTTCCTGAGATCCTCACAATGGGACCTGCTGAGGGCCTGCGCGTCATTTCCCAGCAGATGTTTGGTCTTCTTGACTGCATGAACAGGAGCCAGCAGAAAGTTAGGGACGACCCTGATGTGTTGGTGGTGCGCTATGAAGACTTCGCAAGGTCTTCGCGCGATTTCGATAAGAGGGTGCTGCAGATGTTTCACTTCCTTTTTGAGGATCTCGTTTCGCCGGCGCAGTACCGTGACATGTGGGAAGCAGTGAAAGTCGAGGATTTGAACAGGCAAGAAGAGTCGGGGAACACAAACATCACCGAGCACACGAACGACGATGAATGCATGCGCCGTTCAACTGCGGTGCTCCGAGCACTGCCCGACATCAATGCCAAGGTTCGAGATTTCCAGAGGTCGCTGGGGTATGCCTAGCACGTGGCGCCCGCGAAAAATCTTTCGCCAAAGTTGCTGTCCTTTTGGTTCCTATCAGACCTTTTGAGTGCCCTACACAGTTAACCCGAATCCCTACAGTCCCCGAATCCGAAGCTTCATGGGGCTTAGGAGCAAGAAGGTTTCTACTGCTGGTAGCAGTTGTCTTGCGCTAGTTTTCAATAAATACGGGTCCTCCCGTCTCTTGTATCTGCACATGCTCCAAACCCGTAAGCCCCCAAATTTTCGACCCCTGAACCCTACATCTCCATCCTAGTCCCTAAGCCCTTAAGCCCCGAAGCCTTGTACACTTTAATTAAGCCCTGCACCCTGAGCTGACTGCGGATTGCACTCAAAGGGTCTAGGGTTGAGTGGTTATAGGGTTTAGGTTTAGTGATATGGGGTTTAGGTTTATAGGGTTGATAGGGTTTAGGGTCTAGAGGGTTTAGGGTGCAGGGTTCCGCCCTATACCCTAAACCCTAAACCCTAAACCCGAAACCCTAAATCCTAAACCCTAAACCCTAAACCCTGTAAGTTTCGGGGAAACGGAGTCCCGAGTGAGACAGGTCCTTGCTGGCCAGCGCTCGGCTCTTGTCGAGTCCACGAGGCGCCCGTGAAAGCTTCCGGGGTGTAGGGTTTTAGGGTTTAGGGTTTAGGGTAAAGTGTAGGGTTTTAGGGTTTAGGGTTCAGGGTTTAGGGTTTAGGGTTGAGGGTTTCAGAGCTGAAGGGTTTAAGGTCTCAAGGCCTTACGAGCTTAAGGGTTCAAGGGCTTGAGGGCTTAAGGGCTCAAGGGCTCAAGGGCTTGAGGTCTGAAGAGGGTTTAAGGGCTTAAGGGCTTCAAGGTTTAGAACTTTAAGGGGTTAAGGGTTTAAGGGTTTCAGGGTGCAGGGTGTCGGGTTCTAGCCTTAGGGTACTAGGGTACTGGGTTTCCCGAACCCTAAACCCTAAGCCCGAAACCCTAGAACCTGAAATCTCAAGTCGGTTTGAGGCACGTCGCCTTAGAACCCTCACGGAGGCGTTGGGCACAGGGTTTAGGGCCTTGGCTTGAGCTACCCTGAACCCTAAACCCTGAACCTTGAACCTTGAACAGCTTCTACACCCTTAGTCACAGACCCATGGTCCCTTCGCTTCGTTCACCAATCTGCACCCCACAGAGCTGCAGCCAAGTTTAGGGTTTAGGGTTGGGGCCACCTCAGATGGCCTCCGGTGGGCCCACCCTACGGGCTCTGGCTGGTTTTGATTCCCACCCTCATGGGGGTTAGGGTTTGGGGTTTGTGGTTTGGTGTGTAGCGCTTCAGTTTCAGGACTTTGGCTGTAGACGCGCCCAGAAATCCAAATCATCAGATGCTTCGTGGAGGCTGACCCTCGCTGTGAGTACCTGGCTCAATACCACCGGTCACGGCAAGGCCGACGGATAAAATCCAGGTTGGGGCTTCGTGGGGGCTTCAGGGTTTGCAGCGTAGTTTCTGGTTTTGGTTTCTTTTTGCTGGCGGGCTTCCAAGGGTTCGGGCTTTAAGGTCTTATTCTTCAGAGTCCTTAGTAGCTGAGTGAGCACACTTTACACTTTTTGGGACACTATAATCCCCCATAGAACTAAAAGTGTACATTTTTGGGGGGCTTATCAACTCAGCAACTAAGAGTCTACGGTCTGAGGGTTTCAGGTTGTGAGAAACCTGACTCAAGGCGAACACCTATAGGACCGGGCTTTTGATTTGTGCACGTTTTTGTGCCAATTACACTTCAAACCCTGTAAACCTCGCACCCTAAATCCTAATTAGGTGGCTTGTGTTTGGGGCCTAGGTGGGTTAGCTCACCATGCGGGCTGATCCAAATCATCTGCTCTTTGGGTGTCGTATGGTTTTGTAGGCGTGGCTTGTGTTGTTACCAGCTGTGGCCTAGTCCAAAAACCTTCTTCACGAAATCTTGAGGGATCGTGAGCAACACCTCTCAACACAGAGCTTGATGCAGTTTCGCAATCGGAGTGAGCCACACCTTCACACAACATCCCCCCCCCCCCCCCCCCCGCACCCTCACCCTCTCCCTCTCCCTCTCCCTCTCCCTCTCCCTCTCCCTTTCCCTTTCCCTTTCCCTTTCCCTTTCCCTTTCCCTGCCCGTGAGGGGTGTCTAGGTTGATGCAAGTTCGCGCAATGAAAAGCAGCGGCAGCGGCAGCGGCAGTGGCAGCGGCAGCAACCAGCAGAAGCAGCAGAAGAAGCAGCCGCAGCGGCAGGTATACTATTAAAACTAACTATAGTAATAATTACTAGTGACACTAATCAATAATCATGATAATAGCTATAAATCATACTAGTGAATATTTATAAATGTTCATACAAAACGAGCAATAATGGCTCACGGGTCAGAAGTACACCCCGCCCCCCCTACGAACCCTGTGCTGCAAAGCTCATCAACCTTAAACCCTAAACCTAAACCCCAAACCCCAAACCCTAAACCCTAAACCCTAAACCCTAAACTCCATGGCATGCTGGGAAGGTCGACTTACTCCGCTCCTCCTCAGGGCGCTCAGTGGAGTGCATTGCGATCTCCGCCAGGCCAGAAATACAGGGGTTGAGGGTTTAGGGTTTAGGGTTTAGGGTTTTAGGGTTTTAGGGTTTTAGGGTTTTGGGAGGGTTCGCACGGTGTTGGGTTCATGGGCCTTTAGAGTGGGCTTTGGTCGGATGCCTTGTACGCTTTTGGCTTGTGAAAGCCAAGGGCAGTACTTCTGTACTGAGCGGGTATAACCCTCTTGAATATGTAGATAGAGCTGCGTCTCCGTCTAGTCCGCTTCCACACGGTTTTGATCCCTAGCAAGCCATTTGCTCAGACTCAGTGGGCCTAGATCTCTGCGGTAAGCTGCCGGATGCACCTTGTTGAGATGCTGAGCTACATCTGCTTTGTAGATTGTACTGGGTTACCATGTGTATATATGTCCTGTAATGTGTTATCATAAATTATATGTATATATATATATATATCTACATGTACATATCTAGATTTGTAAATCTAGCAGGGTATAAGTGTTGCCGGTTTCGGGTGACATAGGGATTAGGGTCGCTTCTCGGGTACTTCTAGCACGTAGAACTCTACGTTGTGCCTACTTGCTAGGTCCGATCCTCCAAGTTATAGGATTCCTATTCGGAGCATCTCGAGTTTGTGCTCAGCGGTTTACGGTTTAGGGCTTTGGGTTCAGGTTGAAGGTTCAGGGTTTAAATAAAATCTCAAGGGCACATTGACGTGAGGGGAGTGAAGGAGGGGACGCAGAGAATTGACACCAGTATGAAAGTCAGTAGGGGTGGTGTGTTCTTGGCTTAAAGCATAGCTGTGTTTCCATCCATTCTAGATCTGACCAAGAAAATTTTCCAGTGGGTAGTTTCTTGTTGTATAAACATCTTAGAATTCACGAAGGAAGAAACTGCCCGCCTAGAACTGGTCCTGGAATTACGGTGCTTAGATTTGCGCACTGAGAGTTCCAGTGTGTTTGGACAGACACGTGGCCGAGTATCGCTCGCTGGGCCTTCGTGGAGGATGCCACGCGGCCTGTCGCCACCTGGCCAAATAGGGCCCGGGCTACAAGGTGGCAAGGTACCATGTGGACGAATTCTGCGAGGTTTCGGGTTCAGGGGTTTGTCATTCACACTCACATGTAAGACCATGAAGTGCACACCTTTTCTCCTAAATCATAAGCCCTATGAACCCTGTAAACCCCATAAACCCCATAAACCCTATAAGCCCGATAAGCCCTATAAGCCCTATAACCCTATAAACCCTGTAAAATCATGTCGTAAACCCTTTAAACCCTTAAAACCCTTAACCCTTCTAACCCCTAAACACTAAACCATAAACCCTAAACGCGAACCCCAACCCAGAAGCGAACTAACCAGAAGATCCCAAAGCACATGAAGCCACCCTTTACAAAGCTGTAATTCTTCTTAACATGCAGCAACAGCATACCCATACCCTTACCTAAAGCCCCAAATCCTCCCTTCAACCCCTAAACGCTAAAGCGCTGCACAAGCCCAGCTGGCTTTTACTTTGCTCAGTCATGGTGGCATACTTACCCCACGACTCTGACAACATGAGTGACTGGGAGCTTGGGACGGAGTCCTTCCATTGGGAACGCTACTTTGGCGTGTCCCAGCCGGACTAGTACAAGTACTGGGCGAGCTCACGGCCCACTGCACGTCAAGGACCCTAAACCCTAAACCCTATGCCCAGCAGAGTGAGAGGCCCCTGCAACTTTGCCTCCCTCCGAGGTTCCGGTGTCTTGAGTCCAGTGGAGGAGGGGGCCGGACACAACAACAAAAATCAGCAGTTTCGCAAGCCCTGAGACCTCTAAACCCCATTAAACACTACAATCCTAAAGAAAGCTCCCTGAAATGTGTTGACCCAGGTTGCTCAGCATAAAGTGCTAAAGAGATCTTGGACAAGCTTTTAACTGTGCTGTTTACTCTCGTCTTCCCAGAAACAGCCCGACAAATGCAGGGTTCCCGGTACCCTAAGCACTTAGACTCCTAAACCCCGACCCCTAAACCCTACTGGCCCCAAGCCCCCCTGATCCCGTACCCCATACACCCTAAACCCTGAACCCTAAACCATACTCCCTAAACCCTAAACCCTAAACCCTAAACCCTAAACCCTGAACCCTGAACCCTAAACCCTAAACCCTAAACCCTAAACCCTAAACCCTAACCTGTACGCCCCAAGCCCCCGAAATCATCACAAAATCATCACGGCACTCCCAGGCGACGCCATTGGCGCTGTGGGCTCCAGCCTCGCAGAGGGCCCTGCAGCGGCTGTGGTTCGCTAGCATGGGGGGCGTGTAGGGTTTAGGGTTTAGGGTTTAGGGTTTAGGGTTTAGGGTTTAGGGTTTAGGGTTTAGGGTTTAGGGTTTAGGGTTTAGGGTTTAGGGTTTAAGGTCCTCCTTGGTGGATGGTGCTCCAAGTGTGCAGCGACTGGGGTTGCATTTCGGGTTTCGCGTAAACCCTCTGGTGCTTCCAATCCCAGA